AAATGAAATATAATAATATAAAATAAAAAATAAACTTTTACAAATTTTTAGAATAATAATAATAAAAAAAACTTAAAATAATAGAAGTAAAAAAAATTAAAACAAAAAAATAAAAATAGAAATTAAAAAAATAAATAAAAAGTAATCAGGTGGTAATTACACCATGTAATTACCAGCAATTCACAACCTCTGCCTGTGAATTGTAGAGTGTAATTACCCTTGCCAATTACACCAATTACCTGTTGGCCAAGTAATTACATGTCCTTTCAAACAGGACAAGACAGTATAATTACACCAAATCCAATTACCAGGGTGTCCTTCCAAACAGGCCCTTAAAGTATCATTTTTTTTTAGAGGTATCCTCTTACATATATATACTTTAAGGGACTGCAAATGGTGGATACTCATAAGTTATCCATATGTTATGATGGATAATATGTATTGATCCATATTTAACCCATTTATAAATGAGTCCAGTTGGTAACCATATATTTTAGGGATGACATAAATCTTATTAGTTTAGCAGTTAACTACTTAGATATACTCTAATTTGTAATATTATACATTTTTTTATCAGATTTTGGTGTGTTTCAGATACATGAAGTCAAAATTAGGTGTAATTTGTTTTAGATACATTGTATTTAAGTGAATTCACATGTATTTGAGATACATAACAAATCATGTACGCCTCCCTCCCCATTTTCGCTCGTCTTTCCTCCTATTTTAGTGTATCTGGTAACAAAAACAGATATATCTAGGTGTTTCTTTATCAATAAATAATAGAAAATCCTTAATTTGTGATAAAACACGTAATATTTTTAAAATATAGATAACAATAATATACTCCATATGATAGTGAAGTATTTGCATAGTTTCTCGGATACCCATTTTGTAGACCCGAATATCCGCAAAGTTGCTAAAAAGATTCGTAAATTCGCATAATCTCATAATTTATGCCATTTTTTTCTCCCTAAAATAAATACCCTTTTTTTCTCGATCTCTCTGCTCACAAAAATCTCCTTCTTTACCGCATTGCCACACACCGATCTCACAGGTTCTTTCACTTTCCCTATTTTGCTCATTTCAATTTCAAGATTCCTTTTTTTTTCAAATTTAAAATCGACCCAGGTAACTAATAGTAATGATTTTTTTATTAAAAATTTGATATTTTTATTGTTGAGTTTCATGCTTCAATTACCCCTTTATGATCCTAATTGGAGTCCCACTAAAGAGTGGTTAATTGGGTTTTTATCTAATTTGAGCTTCTAGCTAGCAAGTTTAATGTATTGGGTATTGCATGGATGAATTTTTAAGGATCCATTGATGAACCTTTATGCTCTGATTTGAGGGATTTGATCAGAAATGAAATGGGTTTTGCTTGGAATTTGGGGATATAGTTTTAGGGGTGGGGTGTGGGGGTGTGGGGGTGGTGTGTGTGTGTGTGTTTGTGTGTATGTCTAATTGGCTTTTTTTATGCTTTGAAGAATAAAGTTTTAGCTTCAAAGGAAATTGGTCTGATAACTTAGTTCTTATTTTTAAATCAGTAAAGATATGTGAGTTAATTATAATGCTGAAGCTTGTGGGATAAAGCTTGAATTGTAAGTAAAAAGAGAAAAAAAAGTAGTCTTTTCCCATTTATGTAAGTGCGTTGGTGGACAGAGTTACCTGATTCCTTTGTTGGTGACAGATAGTAGGTACTCGCGCATGCAAGTTGATCCAGACACCATAATTGTTTGAAAAAAGTAATCTTTCTATGGACTTTATTAAACCAAGACATAAACAAGGGAATGGATCATCTTGAAAGGCTCATAAAAGAGTTTTTCAATAGTACATTATTTGATCTTTATTGAGTTATTTCTAGGTCTTGATTCGGAAGGTTCAACTAGTGACTTGAAGTTGATGTCCTTACATTGGAAAAATTCGATCTTTGAGCAATAGCTGAGTTCTTATTGTCATATCTGGACTTTAGGTACATCATTGACATGATGAGATTCTACTGCTATTTATTGGGTTGCAATGTGTAATGGATCCTATTGAGACGGAAAATGGCTAAAAATGATATTAGTTTAACTACTGAAGTTTAATCCAGATCCCAGATCATTCAAAAATCACACTTTTTGAACATCGGAATTCGGATGTGGTTCAATAATGGAAGACACAATACTCAATAAATCGAACTTCTAAAATATCGATATCATATAGTTTCATTAACTTCTGGTACCTACTCCACAGTGCAGAGACAACCAATTCCCCTACAAGATAACACCATCTATATCAGTTGTACAGGTCATAAACCTGGAAACAGTCGAGCTCCTAATTTTTTTGGCAATTAACGGCCGAGCTCCTAATTTCCCCCTCACAATATGAAGTTTTCGAAAGAAATAAACAAGTTAGGGGGTAAATTTTGAATTTGGAGAAGACATGGTGCAAACCAAAGAGGGTGCATGTATATAGAGCATAAAACGCAAATTAGTCGATGATTTTGTAAATAACACCTTCATGAAGCAGTGATTGTGTGGTTTGATGAATCCCTTGGATATATTTCTGATCAATGGAGGATTTCCTTTGCTTAAAAAATCTGTAATATGTACTCTTCATCAATCGAAAACATGAAGTTACAAATGATTCCTTTCCTTGTAACAGAAAATCAAAGGAGTGGTTGGATTACAACCATAACTGGTCAATACCGGTATCTGCATGTATATGCTGGCAATCAGTCATATTCAATTGACTGATTGCCAAATTGCAGATGGGTGCCCAGAGTTCAGTGAAGCCTAAGACAGCCTTGGAGGGTGTGCATGGAGTGCAAGTGGTGCCTCATTCACCATTTGCATTGGAAGAGATAAAACAACATGGGGGCTTACATAAACGGAGCCATGCAAGTTTTCCTGTTGGAACACGACACCACCTAATAGTGCAGTAAGTGAAAATGAGGTTATCTTGGTTGACCTCTGATCATTTGTCTGGAGGTGCTTTTCTATCTTCTATAAGCAATGCAGATGATTGAATTGTCAATTCAGACCCAAAGTTAGGATTAGGGTTGACAAGAATTTGACTCATCATGTTATCTTGTTCACCAGGAGAGTTTGGCAGCAAAGGCCTGGTTGCCTCAGGCCCATCCGTTGCAGTTGCCATGGTAAACATACAAAGAACAATCACTTTATGAACAGTTAGTGTATTATACTGCCTCTACCATGTTTCTAATCTTTTAATTGTTTTCTTTTAGGTGATCGAACCGTTGCTGAAACTATTGCGAATGTGATCACTTCTCTTCCTTTTATTGCTCTTGGACTTCAGGCTCCGAGGTCAGAAATATAATTTGCTAGAGCTGCTTTATGATGACCATGTTTGATTACGCTCATAATTTTTAATTTCTTCTTTCGTTGCTGCAGGAAAAATCTTCATTGCAAACTTTATGCCAATTCATTGATTGGAGTTGGAATTGTCTCCAGTTTGTACCATGCTTCGAGAGGCAAAATAAGACGCTATATGAGATGGGCTGACTACTCAATGATAGCAACAGCAACAGTGGTAATCTTCAGCTGTTCATTTTATATCTTTTCAGGATCTTTTATATTGCCCAGATATTCTAAGATACAATTTTGCTTGGAACATTAATCACACCAGAAATGCTTGCTGAAAATTATATTATTGATCTACCTCATTCATCAACATCAAAAAGAAAAAAGTGCAAAGAATTGGAAAAGGTGTGTGACATTGACGTTGAAATAGCTGGTGAGGTGTGCTGATTGCTGAAATGGTTTTCTTGGTCTCCTTTTTGCTAAATTGTGTGAGAAGTATCTACTCTGCATTTGAAAGTGATGATGATTTGTGTTAGAGTGCTCAAGTTCCTAGAAATACTTTTATTTGGATGCTAATTAAATAGAGCTATACCGGAATGTTAGTACACTACTTGAGAATTGTGTTTTAAGATTTTTTTTTCATCATGAACTTTCAATCAAACAGTACTTTTCCCAAAAAGAAGATGTGTTCTTCTATAAGTCTCAAGTACCTAAAAGAAAATATTAAAAGTAAGCATTACCCTAATGCTTATTCTTATTTTTTCTGTATAGTATTCCTGGATAAATACATGTTTAAATGCAAGCAAGTTGGCCTAGACACCACCGTCATAAAAAAGTATTTTTTTTTAAACAGGTAAATATATTTTTCATTCATAAATAGGGCCAAATTGGTACAAGGGGTATACCAAAAGGTAAAGCATCTACAAAAAAATGTCATTTTCTACAAACTCCACCCATTTGTGTGCACCAAAAGAAACAGAGACTATTCCTAACTGAGAGAAACTCAACTCCACTCCTTCAAAAGCTCTCCTATTTCTCTCTATCCAAACAATCCACATTAACGCAAGCGGAACCATGTTATAGACAACCTTCCGCTTTCTTAGATATTCCGTTGTCAAAGTCACCCCTCTAGCGGTTAACCAAGTAAAAAACACACCTTCCTCTGCACCTTTGATATCCATATTACGTTACAAGGGAAAATATGGTCCTTCCTAACCAAAAGTTTTGACTCAGTTATCAATCTTTGAAACACAGACACTATCCAATCTTGGAATTCTCTTTTAAATCTCAAGTCCCAAAAAGACTCCACCTTGTGTCCCCCCATTATGTTGTATTGTTGAGTCTCTTTGGCAAGATGTTCTCTACACCCTCTGAAATTCATCTTTCAATAATATTTCCCCACAAACAGTATGTCCCCAAAAAGTTACTCTCCTTCCGTCTCCGATAAGAAAAAGTGGTGGCCAAGAATTATAGCCTATTGGTACTGGTTAGAGTCTACCTCATAATAAGTGTGGATCAATTATAACTGTCCCTCTTCGCCTTCCCTTTTATTTATCAAACATAAGCAAAATAGTTTGGTGATTTTTTCTCATATAAGTCCTTGGTGGAAAAGTTTCTAGTATCTAGTGGAGGTAACAAGTACCTGGTGGATTAATAAAGAACGTACAAACTGTCATCCGTATCCAGAAAGTCTACAGATGGGGAAAGGGGTAGATCTGTGGGTGCTTTTCAACAGGTGGTTCTATGAAATTTAATAGCTTTAAAAGAAGCTAACTTAACTGCTGACTTTTTTTGCAGTGTCTATCAAGGGCACTTAGAAATGAGAATCCAAAATTGCTGATGGCAGCATCTGCAGTCCTCTTACCAATCCAACCTTTGATGGTTTCTGCTGTGCACACTGGAATGATGGAGGTAGATATCTGATTCTGAATGCTCGAATGAACTGAATTACACTACCATTTTAATCTCTTCTACGTAGCTCTTCCCTCGTCTGCAAAGAATATGATTTAATGGACTGTCTTCACTCTTTTTTTTTCATTTAGGTTGCATTTGCCAAAAGAGCACTTCAAGATCCGGATCTAAGGATGAGTCACAATGTGCACAAAATGTCATCATTGCTAGGGGGTGCTCTTTTCATAGCTGATGATGTCTTTCCTGAAACACCTTTCTTGCATGCTGGTTGGCATCTTGCTGCTGCTGTTGGGGTGAGCACTTGCAATAAGCTTCTTGAGTAGGTCGCTATTATTCCAATATAATTCCTGCCAAATTTGTCGAAACCACTTGCCATTGCCTGCAAAGATTTTCCATTTATTGAAACAAGAAGTGAAAAAGAACACACTGCAATCTTGGCTCAGTCTTGTAATTCAATGGTCTATCCTTATTACTATTCATTGTAGTGTTTATTGGTTTAGAGAAGTAGTGATAGACTGATAGGTATCTGTTATAGCTATGTGCTGTAGAACGATGGCAATTAGCGTTGCTTTTTATTATGATGCCAGTGTGAAACATTGTTTGCAGAATATGATTGTTCTTCAGTCTTGTGCTGAATGTCTAGTATTCTTGCAGACAACATCTTAACATATGGACTGAGTTTTCATGTGAATAATGTTGAATGCTGCAGTTTGTCTTAGATATGTTATTGAGAGTGTCTTGAATTCGTTTGTGCACCATTTGTTGTTAAAGTGCTTGTGTGGGCAGACTCTAGGACAATTTTTGTTGACAAATTTGCTCCGTCACCTGAGAATGGCCATACACCAATAACCTGGTGGGAGGTGGCAAGTATCTCATGGATTTCTTCTTCCATACGAAAAAGATTGACATCCACAACTTCCATCATAGTTGTTGGAAATATTCGCCTTATCGACTCTCTCATGCCAAGATTTTTACTGAATATCTCTTCATCTGGTTTTCTTTTTGCCAAAACATCCATTAGCATGATGCCATAGCTATAAACATCACCATTAGTGGACACTATTATCTCCGAGCCATATTCTTAAAAGAACAAAATTAAAAAGAATTACTCATCTAATACAATAGTACTTAATAAATAGGTAATACCAAAAACACTTGTGTGAAAACAAAAGAAAAAAGGGTATTTTTTTCAATATACAAGTGAAATAGAAAAAAGAGTGCAATATATCGTTAATTGGTACATATTTTTAGGAACATACATTTTAAGAACATACCTTGGGTTGAAAATTATGTCTTTTTTGGCCAAGGGTCTGAGTTATGCATATGTTAATATACTAGGTGTACATGGCCGAATCGGTTCGGATTTTTCAAATATCAAACCAAGCCATTTATGTTCAGTTTTTAAATATATAAATTAAATAAAACTAATAAAACTCGAATTTTTCAACTTCTGTTTTTTCGGAGGTATTCGGGTTTTTTCAAATTTTTTTGACAAAGTATTCATACGAACATAAAATTAACTTTCACTTCAATTATTTCTTTAGTCCTATCAAAATACAATTATCTAAGGTATTTTATAAGAAAATAATACATAATATGAGATGAGTGATGACACAATATTATTTAACAAAAAATAAATAATGAAATCACATAAAATAAATAGTGCAAATTAATTAGTATTTTGCTAATTTTGAACTTTTCTTTTACTAGATTAGGCTGAACAGGAGGTGGGCTTTGGGCCTTAACCCATCAGCTTTTTTGTTTGTGTTTTTTATTATTTTGAGCACTAAATTTTGAGCCCTTTGGCTCTTTTTGACCAAAAAATAACATAAAAAAATATGTAACAAAAAATATTGTAGATTAATAAGTCATAATAAAAATGGTCATAATTTAAAAGTACTAAATCATGCTAAAATTAGTCTACTAAGTATTAACTATATGACTAAATATTTTTTAAAAACAACTAAAATTAGGTTATGTATTTAGTTGTCTAAATTAATGTAAATCTAAAGAACAAATATTCAACATTAGTGTTGAATTGATTTTTTTTTGTTAGCATTAATATCAATTTGATTTTGATTTGAGCTTTATTACCGTTACTAATATTTATGGACTATAATATTTATTGGGTCATTTAAAATTTTAAGTTTCAAAGTTGAAATAATATAGTATTTTGAGATAAAAACAATGAAACAATATAAGAAATATTTATAAATTATATCAAAATAAATACTTTTATGTATAAAATAAATTTTAAAAATTACTTATGTAATGTCATGTTGATTTGGTCTCGAGTTGATTTTTTTTAGTTAAAACCAAACCAACCCCAGTATAGTCAGATTTTTTTCAATACCAAATTACTAGTCAATTTTTTTTTCTCTCGATTTGACTCAACTTATGATTTGATTGATTTATTTGAGCGCGAAAATAAGAAATAATTTTGGATTTTTTCTAAAATGGAAAAACACACATTAGTTGATACATAATTTTAGGAACATACCTTTTGGATGTTGATGGCGTTGACTGATTTCACAGTTTGCGTGATATTGACGAATAATATATTTTGGTATGTGTTTTTAGAAATATACCTTTTTTGTACATTGTATTGAAAATTATGCCTTTTTAGCCGGACCGAGTTATGCATTGGTCAACACTTTTAGGGACATATCTTTTTGATGTTGACGACGTTAAGAAATTTCACAGTTTGCAGGACAATTTATTTTGATACATAATTTTAGGAAAAATACGTTTTTGGTGTTTTGGATTAAAAATTATTCCTTTTTTAGCCACGGGCTGAATTATGCATAAGTCAACGTATTTGAGCTTTTCTAAAAAAGGAAAAACACAAACACTAACCGATACATAATTTTAGAAAAATATCTTTATGATGTTGACGACGTTAACAAATTCCACAATTCGAATTACATTGACGTATACTCCATTTTAGTACATGTCTTTTATAAACATACACTTTTGGTGTATTAAATAAAAAATTATGCTCTTTTAGCCAGTTATGCATATGTCAACACATCTAAGCCTAAAAATTAAAAAAAGAAACAATCTTAAATCTTCTTTTAAAAAAATTACATACACAATAAGTAGAAACATATATTTTTTTAATATTAACGACGTTAACAGATTTCACCGTTTACGAATATTAACAAATAATCCTTTTTGGTACACATTTTTGACCATATCTTTTTAGTATATATTGGATTGAAAATTATTCCTTTTTAAGCACTAGACTCATACTATAAATATGTCAAACACATCTAAACCCAATAATTAAAAAAAAATCCTAATTTTCTTAATAAACTCTCTAAACAGAATTTCTGAAAACTTCTCCAAACAGGGAATACCAGCAGTTATGAATCCATCAACACATCAAAATGGTGGCCAAAACCCTAATGTGCTGCAGCAGCAGAAGGAGAAGATGAAGCAGAAGAAGGAGCAGATGTCAATGAAGAAGTTGAGAGAAGCAGTCTTCAATTTGGCCAACAGTGAACCAAATGTGCGATTATCAGAGAAGCAAAAAGTAGCTCTTCAACAACGCATTTCACAATTCTTCTCTCGTCTTACTACTCCTGATCATCCTCCGTATGCTTGGGTAACTCATCTCTTTGTATAAAGTTTTCATCTTTCATTATAATTGAATTTATTTGTTTTTTGGTTTTCCATCCCGATGTTTGGTACTTGCATTGGAGTTCGAGTAATTTGAATTTGAATTTGCATTGGTAGGCCCCACTCAAGGTTTCGAACAAAGACTTCTGGTTAAGGGTGGAGTAGTCTGGTGGTGGTATTATAATTGAATTTATTTGTTTTTTGGTTTTTTGCATTGGAGTTCGAGTAATTTGGATTCGTATTGGTAGGCCCCATTCAGGGATTTCGAATAGAGATCATTGATTTAGGGAGGAACAGTCTCATTCACTGCACCACTCGGTATTATAATTGAATTGTATGAAATTTTATTTCGCCAATAAGTTGTTTTTTGAAAGAAAAAAAAATTAGGGTTGATACTTGATTGTAGTTTATCATGTGGGTTTGTTGTCGGAAACCGTCTCTCTACCTCCACGAGGTAGTGGTAAGGAATGCGGGTTGATACTTGATTGTAGTTTATCATGTGGTATGTTGTCGGAAACCGTCTCTCTACCTCCACGAGGTATTGGTAAGGCATGTGGGTTGATACTTGATTGTAGTTTATCATGTGGTCTGTTGTTGGAAACCATCTCTCTACCTCCACGAGGTAGTGGTAAGGCATGCATACACTCTACACTTCTCAGACTCCACTTGTGGGATTTTATTGGGTATGTTGTTGTTGTTTGGTTACTCATGTCTTCATGTAAATTTTGTATCTTTAATTGTTGTAAGTGATTTGTACAAACATAAATCTTTTTTTTTTTTGAAAAAGAATGGAGGGGGCTGTTGAGAATGTGGCCTAAGATTTTTTAGTAGCAAATCGAAGTATGAGGGAAGTTTTATTTATTGGGATTTCTGGGAAAAAATGGATTCTTGGATTATAGTTTTCGTTTTGGCTACTTATGAAGTTAGCCTTCCTATATGTGTGTGTGTATATGAGTTTAAAGAGCAGGGAATTTCTTCTGTGATTATGTGATGGGGCCTTTTGAATTAAATTATTGAGTACTAAATATTCTTTTGAAAAATGAAATATTTGTTCGATTTTTTGTTAATATGTGTTTGTCAGATTCTTGTCGATTCTGTTAATTTTGTGTTATTGATTTCATATGTATCGAGGGAAACATGAGATTGCTTTTGTTATTATAATGTTAATACCGTCCCCAGATACTTGCCAAAAAAGATTTGGTTTTGGAAGTTCTTTTCTTAATAAGAGCTTGAGTAATCGAAGTAGCAATTTGAAATCAGACCTCAGAGACTTGATTAGCTATTTCTCTTTTTTCCGACATCACTTTAGGAGTAACAGTGAATAGTTTTGAAATCTTGTTATTTGGATTTTTTCAAGTTTCCATATAGTTGAAGTGAGTTTATGGTCTAATCGAATGTTTTCTTTTGTTATAGATGATTGAAAAGGCCTTGCAAGAATTGAAGGAAAAAGGGGGTTCCAGTGAAGACTCAATATCTGAGTTTATTATGAAAGAACATGCCAGTTTGCCATATGCTCATATGACTATGCTGAAACATCATCTACAGAAAATGACTGAAAAGGGAGAAATCCGTATGATTGGAGGACGGTTTTTGCTTCCTGGTGATTGCGAAAGCGTGGTTCCAAAGAAAAAAAGAAAGAGGAAGAAAAAGGGGAAGTCGGTTATTAAAAAAAAGCAGTCGGGGCAGAAGGAAAAGGAGGAAAAGCATGATGATGTGGAAGTTGTTGGAGAACAGAAGGATTTGGATGAACAACAAAATGATGTCACTGTTGATGAAAATCGTGGGCAAGAAAATCAAATACATGAAGAATATTTGGAGTCGAATGAGCATCGTAATGCACCGAGCACAGATAAAGAAGATGGGCAATTAAGTGACCAGAAAAATTCTGTAACTGGAAATAAAGTTGTTTGTGGAAGAGTTCTAAGGAGTACAATACATAAGCAGAAAGGGAAAGAACAACTTGATTTTACTGGAGGATCACTGCAATCCTCCATTGCTGCTGAGAGTGCTATAGGTTGTAATTCGGAGTTGCAGCTATCGCAGCTTAGTCTCAGCACAGTTGAGGAAACAGCTGATATTAGTAACTTATATCCACAAGAAATTCTGGAAAATGAACAACCTGGTGATGACCTGCCTCTACTTTTAAGTCCTGAAGTACCTCCAGGTTTTGAGCTTGTGGTGGTGGAGGATGCCACAGAAAATAAAGCACATACCTCTTCGTCAGTAGGTTTGGATTTACCAAAAGAAGACCATGTTATGCCTCAGAGTTCTGACAAACCTAGTGAAGAGGAGGCTGTTGTTGAGGATCTGTTGAAGACTAAGAAGCAGAAAAAGAAGCACCATGGCTGGCAGCAAACAAATAGGCCAATGACCAGGGCGCTAGCGAAAGGAACAGTAACTTTAAATGAACAGCCTAGGTCAGGTAGAAACAGAAAACAATTACAGTTAGCTATGGAGAGCTCATCAGATCGTGCACAAAGACAACTGAAGCGCTGGAGCAAAAGCCCGGTTGAACCTAAATCAGTAATTACCTCTAAACTGAAACAATTGGCATTGTGTGACTCAGCGGATCAACAGTTAGTACTTATGGAAGAGCCTTTAAGCTTCTCTAAACCATTATGTATCTCAGCGGATCAACATGTAGTACAGATGGAAGAGCCATTGGCATTGGCAATAAGTGAGGAGGCATTGATTTTGACTGATCCTCAACAAGAGGTGCAATTGAAGCAGCCAAAAGTTAAGCGTCGTGGGAGGTCTCTCAAGGGCAAGGAGGATGTGGCTGATCCAGATACTACACTTTTGAAGGATGTAGGATCATCCAAGAAGCTAACAAAGAAACAAACTCATCGAGGTGTAGGAATGCACAGTAAAGTGAGCATTGCAGTTCCTTCATTCTCTCTTATGACGACAAAAGGTATAAATATACCCCAGAAGCTCAAATGTTAGTAAATAATTGCTTGTATTTTCTCTCATGTTTTCAAACTTGGCCCCGTAAAATAGAGGTACAATATAGTAATTTGAACTAATATCTTGACTGACATAGTTATTTGAAAGAAGCTATAACATTGCTTACTAATTGCTCGCAGCTCTAATTTCTTCGAAGTTTTCTCTATATAGTAGAGGTTATGACAGAGTAATCCAGCAATGAAGTACTATAATATGTGAAAAGGAAGTTCGTATTGACTTTATTTCTCCACTTTGTTTGGGATTGACGTGTAGTTGATTGATTGATATTGGCTCGTCTAATCTGATACTTGAGTTCCATGTCTATTCAAGGAATTCAACTAACTATAACCAAATCTATCTGAGCTTTGCAGGTCTATACTTAAGTTAGGGTGTATATGAAGAAATTATTGGTGGAAACACGAATCCAGATTAGTCGGGTTGGTGAGTAGCAGATACCGGATGGTTATACCAAAAGGCGAAGTGTATATGAAGCTCTCTCTTGGATATGTTTTATTTCTCAAATTGGAATTTCAGTTAGCATATTTTAGTTTTATCAGAATCAGGACCTTTTCTTCATATGTAAAGGCCAGATTTATTTCTTTCAGTTATTGTTTTGTTTAAAACTTGGATTTCTTATAATATGGTCTTCTTGAGATATTGCCCTGTTCATATTTCATTTGTGGAACATCTTTCCATTTTTGCTTTTATATTTTTCAATATTTAAGGATCGTTTGGCTAGAACAAGTTATCTCAGGATAAGTTATTACACCATATATAAAGGATAACTTATCCCACCATTAAGGTATAAATAGTGTATAAATAATCTCAAGATTATCGAATATCTCCAACTAAACACAGTATAAAGTAATCCTACATTTTAACCAGAAATAATTATACTAATACCTCACACCAAATGACTACAATAGGAAATAGCTAAGAAATATACAATACCAAATGATTGAGACATTTCAACCAAGTATAGCAAAGGGGAGATTTCATGATGTCCTATTGAACTATTTTTTCTTTTTTCTAAATTAAATGCAGTTCAGTGGTGTGTGGTTATGGATGTGGCATCTTTTCTTTTTTTGTTATGATGTTTGATATTTATTTTGAAGTTCGATTTAATTTAGATTCACATTCTCTAATAAGGCAATTTCATAATTAAAGATTCAAACACAAGATTTATAATTAAGAATGAAAATACTTATTTCCTTTGTGTTTTCATAAAAAGCTAGATCACGAAGATTCGAAGAAATATTTATAAAAAAGAGTTAATGATAAAAAACACGTGAAGTATTATTTTGTTTACAAGTTTTTTACTTGAACTATCAAGTGTTCGCGTTTTAAAAAAATCTAAATTATCATCATCTATTTGTCAAAATACACCTTAATTAGTATCTGATGGTGCATGGGGTAGACTCTTTTTTTCTGTTTAAAATGGTACTACACATTGATAATGAAAATTTAACCAAAACAAAAATAGTTGTCAAAATATACCTGAATTATCATTTTTTGCGAGTTTCTTATCTGATCTATTAGATGTATGGGTTTCCTAACCATTAGGTGTATGAGTTTCCTACCTGAACTATCACCAACTATTTATCAAATACACCTCGAAATTAATGAGTCAGCTATCATGTGGATGAGATTTTATGAGCAAATTAAGTTGTTGCGCTTTGTTTTTACAATTGTATTCAAAATTTGGACTAGTCAGCTTTGAGGTTGTTTCGGTAAATAGTTAATAATAGTTCAGATGAAAAATGCGAACACGTGATAATTCATGTATGAAACTCGAAATAAAAAAGATACTTCAAGTTTTTTTTATATCCCGTTATCTCTTTATAAAAATGTATTAAATTAATACACAATGGATTTATTATTTACTTATTAGATTACTTCTTAGTTCTTACCTACATTTTATTTTATTTTTGGGTAAAAAGCTCAACTTGGTATTTGGTCAAAGCTTATTCCAGTTTTTTCTAATTCATTTAATTATTAAAAAAAATTAAGTTGATTAAGCTCAACTTTTTTGACTGAACATGTCAGGCTGGATTCAATTAAGTCGTGTGATTATCAATTTTAAATAAAATTATTCTTTTGGGTTCAAGTATGAAGCAATTTATTGGGTGGATATGGAAAATATTTTTTTATGAAAAATATCTTTAAGTAAATAAGTGGGTTTTTTTGGTTAGATATGTAAATAAAAAATATTATTTTAAATATTCGTAAAGACAAAATAAATTATTAAATAATAATTAAAATGAAAAATAAAAATAAAATAACAACACGATTACACTAAATTATTCATGACATAATTACATAACGACGGATTTAAGCCATCATGTATATTTTTGTCTTTGTTTTAAATTAATACAACACATTTTTTTTGTGCGATAAGCAAATTAGGGAACAAGTCTACATGAATTATAGGACCCACAAACTTTAATGCTGAATTAGAAAAGGTTGACAAGTTGGATGGGCTAATTATGTATTAGCCTTTTAATTTTAGTTTGGATTCACACTATATAAAAAGTACTTATTACGCTAAATTTATTTTTATTTTTTTAGTCTTAATATATTTAATACATTTTAATTGGAATTTGTTTTTCAAAATTTACGGTTGAATAGATAATATGATAACTAATTATATAGTTATAAATCATTTTTCATTAACAAAAAAATGTGAACTAAAAGTTTACTTTTTTAAAAAACATATAAAAAGATATTATTCTTCTAAAATAATTTAAAAAGAAATATATATTATAGCAATTGGAACAAAGAAAGTGGAGTATAAATTATTAGATTTAGATATGGCCTATCATTAACATACTTTTTGTGTTACATCAACAATTAGTGGATAATGACGTTACTTTTGAACAAATCTACGTAGGTCATAGATTAGGACCCCCACAATTTTTAATGCCTAATTGTCAAATGTAGACAAGTTGGATGAACTAACGATAACAACAACATATTTGGTAAATCCTATAAAGTGGTTAGGAAAGAGAGTAAAATACGTGCACATCTTATTTCGATTTGTTATTTTGTAGAGGTAGAAAAGTTGCTTTCAAAAGACCATCAGTTCAAGTGAAACATATCAAATATTGATGAAAAGAAAAATGACTATGAAAAAATATGATAACTAATAGAAAAACAGTGCAGAACAAACATACAAGAAATAATAGCATTAACAAAATAGTGTGATCACTTAAACATAATAAACAATAGATGATAACAAATAACAAAAGCAAGAAACTATATGAATAAGGCTAATACTACCACCAGTTCTAATCCCATTGAATAATAAGACAACACTCGACTACTAATTTTTTTTACCTTAATTGATTATCGACCTCCATATTCTCTTGTCTATAGTCATGTCCTCGGTAAGCTGCCAGTGCATAATGTCATGTCTAATCATTTCTCTCTAATACTTCTCCGGTCTACCTCTACATCTCCTCAGACCCACCGTAGAGAACATCTCACACCTCTTTATTTGGGCATACGTGCATGTCCTCCTCATATGCCTAGACCATCTCAGTCTCACCTCCCTCATCTTTTTCACCACAAAATTCACTCTCATCTTGTCCCAAACATTTTTATTCCTAATCATATTTCTCCTAGTATGTACACATCTATCTCAAACTTCCTAATTCTACTTTCATCTTCTGAAGAAAAGTTCTTGATCAGCTAAAACTCTGGCCCATTCAACATAAACTAATCTAACAATTATTTTATAAAACTTATATTTAAATCTTGCTGACATATTCTTATTATGCAGGACACCGAATGCAAATCTCTATTTCATCCACGCCATTCTAATATGATGTGAAACATCATCATCAATTTCTCTGTTCACTTAGATTATCGACCCAAGATACTTGAAACTTTCTTTGTTGGAGATGATTTATGTATCAATTTTTAATTTCACATATGTCGCATAAATTATGTAATTGAACTAACACTTTAAGTATGACACTTTAGTCCTGCTCAACATAAACACTTTAAATTCTAGGGTATGTTTTTAAGCCTCCAAGCCATCGTTAACATACACTAGACGATTTTTAAAAATATGTCACGTCAGTTCATCTATCACCAAGAAAATAAATATGGGTTAAGAGTTGATTCCTGGTGCAATTCTATCACAACTAAAAATTTCTTTGATCCCTCTTCTATTATTCTCAATCGGATCTTGACTCCATTATATGTTTCATAATCACTCTAACGTAAGATACAAGTACACTTCTAACCTCCAAACATCTTCACAGAAATCTCTAGGAACTTTATCACATGTGTTTTTAGGTCAACAAACATCATATATAAGGCCATTTTATTATCTCTATATTGCTTCATCAATCTCCTTATGAGATTAGTAGTTGAACATTCCGACATGAATTCAAATTAGGTTTTGGTAATAGACACTTTCCCTCGCCCTCATTTCCACTATCCCTTTCAAACTTTCATAGTGTGTCTTTTCAACATGATACCCCCGTAATTATTGTAATTCTGAATATCACCCGTATTCATATATAACAAGATCATTATACTCCACCTACATTCTTTGGCATTTTTTACATTTAAATGACGTCAAACAATTCAATTACTAATTTATACTTGTGTTATCTGTGCTTTTTAAAAATATCGTTTGGCTCGATCACCCTCTCCTTTCCAATCTTACAAATGACCTCTTTAACCTCCTCAAACTCTATATTCGTATAATACTCTAAATCTTGGTTTCTCAGAGTGCTCTATTTTCTCAACACAATATCTTAGTACATCTCTTCATTCAAGAGCTTATGGAAGTATGCTTGTTATCTTCCTTTAATATGACCTCTTCCATTGATACTTTACCTTTTTTCTTTTCTTTTTTTATCTTTGATGTACTTGGTCCAAGTCTTGGGTGCTTCTCTCTCGCCTTGGCAAGCCTAAACAAGTTTCTATCTCTGTCTTTGTCATTTAGTTTTTCATACACAACATGTTCAAATGCTATTATCTTTACTATTGTAACTACTAACTTCACTTCCTTCTCCACCGTTTATACCTTTCCTCATTGTTCTTACTCTCTACCATTTTTTTATAAGCCACCTTCTGGACTCTCACTTTTATATGGAACGTCTGATTCCATCACTTATGTCTTCGATGTCCACTATCGTTACCTTTCAAAATCTTGACACCTCTCTAGCTACTTTTTTATTGCAATTAGTTGCGCTATCAACATATTATTAGCATTTCGCTATTCTTTCAAGCCCCCATCTCTATCGACTTCTTCCCCATCTTCTAAACTCTAACAGTAATCAAGCCACTCATTTAATACTCAGTAGGTCATTCTTTCTCCTTCTCTTAATCTCCAAACTCACTCGAAGTAACTATATAGTCTTTCTCCACTTCTATCATCTATTGAGTCTTAGCCATCAAACTACGGACGGTCACCAAGTGATTCTACATCCACTTTACTAAAATTAGATATATATTTTTACTTGCTTAATTTTAAAATTCAAACGATATCGTCACTTATACTTGTATCAGTTTGTATTCTGAACCCTTTTACTTAATCATTTGTCAATTGAACCCTTAGACTCAATTAAAATGAGACTTTTAAGCCCCTCCAACCATATGTGTAGCTCACTCTCCTTTACATAA